CCCCAAAACCCCAAAACCCCAAAACCCCTTCAATTAAAATCTATGTTTGATTGGTTCTTCAAATAATTATTTAATTAAATTTGTATATACAGATTAGTTTTTGATTAAAGCAAATGGAAACAATTAAACCTGACTCTGATCAATTACACAATTCATTCATTTACGAAGAAGACCATATTGACAACAAAGCTGATGTTGCGGCCTTCATTCCTGAATTAATTTGTGGAGTTTGTAATTACATTCTAAAAAATCCACTTGAATGCAAGGTTTGTGAAAAGCCCATTTGTTCTGACTGTAAAATACAATGGTTTGCCAAAAACCCTAATCATTGCCCATTTTGCAGAAGCAATAGTTAATTTGATAAAGTCAACAGAATTACTAGAAATTTATTGGGTAAAATAAGATTCACCTGTATGTACAGAGATAAAGGATGCAAAGAGGTGCATAGCTATCAGGACATATTCAAGCACTAGGAGTCATGTCCAACTATCATATTTAAATGTGAGAGTTGCAATTATGTTGGCCATACAGACAATAAGCAGAATCACAACTGCATAACCTATTTAAGCTAGCAACTAAAAAATGTCAATCAAGAAAATCAAAAGCTTAAAACAATGTTCTAATCGACAAAAGATAAAACCAATATTTTCGGAACAAAGTTGTTTTACTTTGCCAAGCTCAACTAGCATGCATTTTATGACTTTGAAACCCTTAAATGGTCTAGTTTCAAAGTTTTTGACAGAAAAATAAGCGAGGGAAAAATTGTAGTACTTAACAAATAATTCATCCTGATAGTTGGTGGATACGAATCAGAGACATTCGATTGGAGTTCTGATGTTCCTAGTTCATAAATCATTAAATTCAGCATTCCATTCAGGAAATTCAAAACGATAGGTGAAATGATGAATAATAGAATATACTTCGGTATAGCACAGGAAGAAGACGAGATCTATATAATCGGAGGATCATTAAAGGGTTCAGATTTGAAGTAGTGCGAAACTTTTAACACAACAACAAAGCAACAATAAGCTTTACCTTAGTTAAGCTAGGCAGTTCGAGGTCCCAATTGCTGCACATTTTCCAAGAGGTATGTATATACTGTAGGTTTTGAAACATAAGGCAATAGAACATCAATTTAATAGCTAGATTAATAAAGAGGCAGCTGGTAAATCATTCATATTATGGCTGAAAAGAAAATATGGTTAGTAGGTCTGCATATGCTAAATGCTGAGACAATGATTATGTTTGGAGGTCAAGCAATCCATGATAACAATCTTAAGTTCAATCAAATAATCAAATACAAAGTCTCAAATAACAAGATCATTCCTATGGAATAATAACTGATGAAGGCTGATAAATTCTTCTTTAATAATCAAAATATATACGACAAGGAATCCAATTCTTTATACTCAATGGGTAGAGATTATATTCATAAAATCTCACTTGACAAGATGAGTTGCTTCATCCCTGACGTTGGATATGTCGAATATTATTCTCAATGAAGGAATAATTAGTATTATCACAGCTATATCTTAATATTTCATTGTAGAAATGGATTATTATTTAATTCTTAGCTTAAATGTTTACTCTCTCAATCATTGTATCTTTCAATTATATTTATGGGGTTTTGGGGTTTTGGGGTTTTGGGGTTTTGGGG